AAAGCCTTACATTTTTATGTTTTATTACTTTATCTGTCAATAGCCATGAAATTTTTATTAAAATTAGTCCAAAATAACAATCTATAGTAAAAATATAGCATAATCATTTTTTTAAAAAAAACAGCAATGATTTTCATTTATTACATTATTGCCTATAGTGCTGGGAAAAATAATAGATCTAAGAAATATTTGATAAGGGCATAGGAGTTTATTTTCATGTTTTTTTTTTTTTTGAGACAGAGTCTCGCTTTTGTTGCCCAGGCTAGAGTGAGTGCCGTGGCGTCAGCCTAGCTCACAGCAACCTCAAACTCCTGGGCTCGAGCGATCCTTCTGCCTCAGCCTCCCTGGTAGCTGGGACTACAGGCATGCACCACCATGCCCGGCTAATTTTTTATATATATATCAGTTGGCCAATTGATTTCTTTCTATTTATAGTAGAGACGGGGTCTCGCTCTTGCTCAGGCTGGTTTTGAACTCCTGACCTTGAGCAATCCACCCGCCTCGGCCTCCCAAGAGCTAGGATTACAGGCGTGAGCCACAGCGCCCGGCCTATTTTCATGTTTTTGAAGTTCTGTGATTTATGTGATGTCCAACAGGTAAGTTATTAATATTATATGGTATGATTCACAGGTTCAAAGTAATGATAGATTATTTTATTATTAAAATAGTTGATAGGTGGTTTCTGGGCTCTATTCATTTTTGCATTTTTATTTAGCTTGTGTTTAGCTGGTTCTCTGCTTTGCAGACCGTCTTGGCATTTAAGACAAAAGCAGGTGCAAAATGGTTTCATGACTAGACTGATAACATTGAATTGCAATTGGGATATTCCTTTACTAAGGCAATTGGGATGTTCCTTCTATTTCAGGCATAGTAAGTCCAGGAACTAATGTCATGTGTTTAGAGAGACTCATATTTTAATATAAATTTGACAACTTTTTAATTAAAAGTTTGAAGTTCATTAATATGAAAGTTATATACTATTAATAAAACTACATTTGTGTTAAAACTCATATGTTTAAAAAGTAGTAAGAAAGTTGAAAGAAATACATAAGAGAGATGACAGACTTGTTAGCTTAAATGGAAAGATCTGCAAGGAAGGAGACTAAACAATTAAGTTATTTACCCAACATCATACATGGCAACTTATTTGATGCTGATTATTTTCATGTATTATGTTTATAAAGCTTATTGATGGTTTTGAAGTGAAATGAATGGAAACATTTTATAAGGAGATTTTAGTTTTTTATTTCTGTAACAGTCCTGACATCTAATTATTAAATTATAGGCATGATTTGCTGAGCCACTTAAAATAGCAACACAGAATCCTATATGTGATGTTCGATAATAAGATACTGATGATATCCAAAATTATTTTAAACATATGCAAAAATTGTCTTGCCATAGGAAAACTGAAACTCTTTAAAAAAAAAATAATGCCTTTTCTAGAGTCATTTATGTTTTGCTTTAATATTTATGATTTAGTGATGCTGGTAATTTTTTAAATAGAGATTATGTAAACCACCTAAAACCTTTTCTTTTTGAGTCTTTGGGAAGCCATTCATTCTACTGGTAAACTCATTAGACTGAACAGCCCAATAGCATTCCTTTTACCTTATGAGGTCTTTAGTTCTGAAACTTTTAACAGAGTTCTTTTTTCTTAACTATAAAACGTAAAAATACCTACTCTTTACCCACTTGAGGATTTTACAAAGGTTAAAGACTATAAGTAAGAGTTATACTTTTACATATACATATCTGATAAAAATGAGGTTGACTTTGCAATTTAGTTATTTATCAAATAATTAAATTATTAAAGTACTATGTTGCCATATTACATTGGTAATGGGTATATTGGGGGTATAAACAGACATGGTTCCTACCCTTGTATATACTGGAAGGAGGTCAGGGGAATGTAGAATAATTATAAAATTTGATAATTATAAGTAGGAAAACAATAAGACACAGCTAGAATAACTATGTAATCAGGGAAAGCTTTTCCAAAACAGTCAACACTTGAGGAATAAGGAGTTGACCACTTAAGAACAGAGGGAAGAAAATTCTCCCTGTGTCTCAAAAACCAGAAGGCAGCAAACTGATGTGATTTAGACACTAAAAGGAGACATTGTGGCTAGATCATAGTGGGAAAGAGGGGTAGGCAGTGGCCACTGGACAGGGTGTTGGGGCATATTCTTGAAGGCCTTCGTAATCAAGAGTTTAGATTTTACTGAATTCACATTGAGAAGCTATTGAAGGGTTTTCAGCAGTGAGTAACATGACTAGATTTTTATTTTGTAATGATTAGACAGATTGGGCAGAGGTGAGCAGGATAGAGGCAAGGAAAACCACTTGGAGGTTATAGGAGGACTTCAGGAAAGAAATGATGCTAGCTGGTATAGAAGCAGGATACCAGTTCAAGATATATCTTGGAATAGAACCAGCAAAATTTTATGTTGTGGATTAGATAAGGAAAGTAAGATGTCAAGGGTGACTTCTGGAATTCTGGCTTGAAGGAATGACACTGCCATTTACAGAGTGAGGTAAGGAAGATGAGAGTGGGGAGAAACAGGATTGGGAGAGAATGGGGAATATCATTGGGCCATTGGATACTAGTTAAGCTTAGAACAGAGGTGGGGAGTGTCCGGCAGGCCATTGGGTACTAGTTTTAAAGCTTAGAACAGAGGTTTGAACTAGAAATAAGATCATGAGAACCATTGGCTTATAGGAACTACTTAAAGCCCTAGGAAAAGATGTTGTCAGTTGGAGAGAAAATGTAAATAAAGAAGAGAAGATGGCCCAGAATTGAGTTTTACTTGATATGATGTATTTGGAGGTTGGGTAGAGGAGTAACCTGTAAGATAGAGTGGGAAGGCATGACCAGAGAAATTGGAATAAAGCAGGAGAGCACATTCTGAATACTAAGGGAGAGAGAGGAGCATATTGACAAGGAAACTCTCATGGCCTGGGTTGGGGCTGCTAAGAGGACCGATGAAAGGAGAATAGGCAAGAGTGGATAGTCCATTGTTACTTCCCAGCCAATGGGAAAGGAAATCTAGAGTGGCTTTGTCTTTATGAAAATGACCTAAACATTCAATACATTTTTTCCATCGTCTCACTGATCCAGTCTTAGTCATGTGGCTACTACTCATCATCCTCTCAGGCTGGGTGGAGGAGTACCTGCTAAAACTGAAAGCTTAGTAAAGGAAGATGGAGAAAATAGATTCTGGGGAGATTCTATTTCTGCCTTGGACCATGAGCTCCTTAGCGTGGGGAGAGTGGTTACGACAGATTCATCTCTGTTTCCAAGCCATGCACACAGTGCTTGGCTTATGTTTGGTACTCAGTAAGTGTTTGATGGGTTGAATTGATTATTAGAACTAATCCTCTTTCTTTCAAAGGTAAAATTTGATTGTAGGCCCTGAAATCCACAGCGTACCCATGGCCTTTCTCCTCCCTGTTTCTCTGTACTCTTATCACTCTCTAGGATAAGCATACAAAAGCGAATATAATATTTACTTTCAAGATTTGCTTAAGAACCTAAAATGTATTATAAGAGGAAAAAAGAAGAAAGTCTGTTCATTTTATTTGGATCACTATCTCTGTATTCGGACTTGATATTTACATGTGCCTTTGGGCAACTGAGCACATGCCAAGTTGATATGTCTTTTATTCAACAGAAAGAGTATCTGGTGACTGTGAAAAGTAATCCTAAATAGAAAGCATTTAGTTTATAACATAGATTGGGATTTGTAGTATTTCCTTCTTCAAATTATTAAATATATTCTGATGTGTATTATGAAGATAAGATGTGTATTGGTTTTACCATAGAGTTATCAGTTTTATTTTGCATAATTCTGTATTATACCAAGGAGTGTATGGTTTGCTTAATGTACTATACGAACCTTTTATTCATGATATTTTTACTATAAAATTAGAATTGAGAAGGGAAATTATATGACAGTATGAGATACTTGTTTTTGAGTTACCCCACATACCTGATGGTATCTACTTGGCATTAGCAGCTTTCTTGTTTAGAGCAGAAATCTGCTTTAAAACATAATGGTGTATCTTATTTTAGAAGGGGGAAATAATAACAGTAGTAAATAAATTCTTTAGGCATGACCATGTGCAGTGTCCTCATTTGCCACGTGTAGAAATGGAGCCACAAAATGGTGAAGCATCTGGACTAGCAAACTATTAGAAGATGGTGGTTATATTTTGGATCTTTTTAAAGGTCGTATCAGCAGATTATTAGGATCTGTTGTTTGAGTTCCTTGTGAGAGATGAGACAAACTCATCTTTTAACACTCAAGGGAAATAGGAGGAAGCCAAGAAGAAAGGATGAGAATTAATGTGGAAGGGAAGGGATGCTGCCCTGTGCCCCGCCCAGCCACAGCCCTGCCTGTCCACAGTGGGACAGATTCCGTGTCCCTAAAGGAGCCTCTAGAGTAGCTGTGGCTGCTCATTCACAGGGGGATAACTGAATTAGGAGAAATCAAATGGGAAAGACATTAGTTCCTGGAAGTGCCTGTAGATCCAGGGGTTAGGAGGCCCCCGTGTAGGGAGAGGAATGGGGTGGGAAACGAGAAAGGATGTCTGCTTCCATTTATGCCATCATCCTTCCCAGGGATTAAAATATATATTCACCTGATGCAGCAAATTCATTTTTCTGAAATTAAATGTAAGCTATTTAATTATTATGACATTCTTTAACGTCATTATACGATCCTCTGTGGCAAAAAAAAATCTAATAGAAGTAAAACCTGCGATCATTACAAATCCACTTTCACTTCTAGTTAAATATGAATTCGGAGCCCCTCGTGGGCGCCCATCTCGGCGGTAACTGGGCAAGTTTCTGTGGGGCGTGAGCACCAGGCTGGTGCCGGGTGGTGCGCATCTCTGCCGCGGTTCTCTCAGCCTTCCGCAGCCGGCATCCTAGTTTTCCTGCCCAGGAAGGGTAAGGGCGCGGTGTTGACGAGATCTGCCCTCTTTCCTGCTTGCAGAACAATCAACCATGACGACCGAATCCGGATCAGACTCGGAATCCAAGCCGGACCAGGAGGCCGAGCCCCAGGAGGCGGCGGGCGCGCAGGGGCGCGCGGGGGCGCAGCCGGGCCCGGGGCCGCCGGGCGCGGACGAGCAGCGCCAGGCCCTGGAGCAGTTCGCCGCCGCCGCGCACAGCACGCCCGCGCGGAAGGAGGTGAGCGCCGCCGGGCTGCGGGCAGCTGTGGGTCATCTGCTCGGCCCCAGCTGGCCCGGCCGGGAAAACGTCTGTGCTATTTTAAGGCTTTCAGTGAATGGCATTCCGCAGCCTCCCTTGGTAACAGCTTCATTTACTTAAAACACTTAAGCTCACACTGGAGGCTGGACTGGAGATTATTGATCCTATCTGGATGTAGAGGAAAGATAGACAGCGAACTGACAGCTTTAATTATGCTTGCGGTGGTTTTTTATTTCAAGCCTAAGGGGCAGAGCTACTTTGTTCTTCCCCAGGCAGCATTCTGACCCTAATATGCCACCTGCTTTTAATGGACCTTCAGGTAGGTCCCTTCCCCTCCCCTGTATGCATCTATGTTTTCAGCCTTATTCCCTGTACATGTTTGTCATGAGTAATGTGTATCTTTTAAAAGTTTTCATATAAAAAAAGTATATAGTTTATACCTGGGCCTCAAGGGAGTCCATGTTTAAATTTCTTCCGTCTTAAAACTTGAAACTTGGAATCATATTTTAGAGTATAGACTTATATGTAGAGTCCCCATAAGTGAATAACCTTTGGTAGGTCTGAAGTGTATGTGTCAAGGTAGAAATTCTAAGATGTTGAGAGAAGGGGCCTGAAACCAGCACATTAGTGAAAATCTTTGGAAGTTATGACACATTATTATAACATTTAACATTAAACTCTACATATTTACCACCAGATTGTTCTCTTTCTTTTCCCAGGGCTTTTGCATGTTCTACTTTTAAACAGTGTTAGTAATAACATTTAGTTTCACTGTATAAATAGATGTGTCTGATCTCCAAGGTTTGGTGATGAAGAGCTGGGAGATCCCATCCCAGTTTGGCAAACAAAAATCTAAGGAGCTGTTGCCATTGCCATTGTTTTCCTTTACCTTTTCTTTTTGTGTAGGAGTGATGATGGTAGTGGCTAGTTTTATTTTTTGTTTGTTTCATTTTTTTAATCTTGAAAAGTTTTAACTTACCAGAGTGGCTTTTTCTTTATTCTTTCCTCTTAAGTCTAAAATGAAATAACATGAAAATAGGAAATTATTATAGAAAAGTATGAGTATCTATAGCTAGACATGATTAAATGTACTTTCTTTATCTTCTATGGTCAAATGTTGGATACAGAACAAGAGAAATGATACTAAAAAGGAAAGATGACTGGCTACAAAGGGCAGAGACCTAAGTCCCATCTCTTCCAATAGTAACCTCCTTAGAGAACTCATTTACACTCTGGGGCCTCAACTTTTACATCGACAAAATGAAGGTTCAGAAAAGATGATTTCTAGGATCGTTCCACAGAATTCTTTGATTCATACTAGGAAGCTATACAACAAAGTACATTTTGACACCCAGGGATAATTAAAACACGAGTTTGGCTGGATTTGAGTTCCAGTTTACTAATTTTGTGACCTTTAGAAAGTTTCTTAGGCTCCCTGTGTATGTCTGTCCTTATCTGAAAATGTGGGTAGTAATACTATGTCACAGAGCTGCTGTGAGGATTAAACGAGGTCAAGGATTTGCTAAAATGGTTGATACCAATATTTGTAAATTATAGTGCATCATGGCCATGATTGACATTTCATTTGAGCTACTTCATTTGCTCTTCTAGAGTTGTTACAATTGATTTAAAAATGTGTGTAAGAGCATCCATGATGAGTTCATGTTTCTAGTGTTCCCAGCAACAAGGCCTGTCCTTTGGTGGTGGATTAAGGTACATCTGGAGCTGAAATTTTAAAGTAATCCACAAAGTTTATTCTCACACAGATATTTATATTAGTAGAAGAAAAGTGAAGTTTCATCCCCTAGTAAGTAGAAAAAGTTTATTACAGGTAAAATTTAAACAAAAATGTGGGTTTTAATGACCTTTGCCTATGATGAGATTAAAAATATAACTTAAATGTGCAAGAGTCTTGTGTAAATTATAAGACACTTAACAGACAGGTGTTATGGTTGTTGATATGCAATTCCAAGGTTACCAAAGTTATACTTAAGCTACCTCAAGGCCAAAATTGGTGACAGTTTTATGGTTTCCTTTCACTTATTATTTTAATGCATTGGTATGGAAAGCGCAGTGGTCAAAAAAGTAGAACTGAGTTGCCAGAGCAGGTTTTCTTTAGTTTATTTACTTGGTTTAGCTGAAGCTTGCCTTCTCAACTATTCTAGCCTTTGAAATTGGTTATTCAAGTTTTTGTTGGTTTCTTTTTATAAGGTTGGAAGATTGGTCTCTTTCTATCCTTGAGAACTTCTCAGGACTTTGCCTTGAATTCCTGGGCAAGGTATGGAAGAAAGGACTATCTTAGAAATCTTCTGGATGGAAAACAAGACAGACAAGGCAGAAATATGCATCTAAAATCCAAAACAAATATGCCAAAAATACCTTTGTAATTACACTAGAGTGTTGTAAAATTGTAGAGGCTAATAGAAAAGTTGAAATGATAAACTATCAGTACTATCTTTACTCTTTGAGCCCATGTGGGTTTAGCACCAGGCTGCTAGTATGTTTGTGCTTATTCAAGACCCTAACCTGAATTTTGGTGCCATATCTTTATTTGGAATGTCAGTGCTTTTTTGCAGAAGGAAAAGAGGAGTGTAGGGGGAGTAGTTAAGGATCAGTACATAGAGAGATTTCCAAGGGGATTGGTTCAGGGAGAATTTTATTGTTAAGTAGGATGTCCTCTGCAGTTTTGAGTCCAGCCTGGACTAGTCTGTTGTGATTTGAAAGCAAAGTAAAGCTTTTGGACAGATTTAATCCATCCTTATACTGGTTCATAACAATGAAGGGAAACAGACATAGGGGATTACTTTGTGATGAATTTCAGTGCTACTGACTTCACTGAATTGACTTAGAACTAAATCAAATATTTTAACAGGTGTGTGAAATCACTGAAAAGATTAATACTTCAAGTTTTCTAGGCCTTAAAGTTTATCAGATGCTTTGTATATATTTGGATGGAGCAGTTATAACAAATGGAATATAGAAAGATTCAGTGAATTAAGAAAGTACAACATATAAGACAAAAATCTAGATGATGTGTTTTAGAGGTCTATATTATCCAATGCTTTTTTTTTAAAAGTCAAGAGTCAATTTTTCCTTCTTTGCTTAGTGAAATCTTGATAGCATTTGCAAACTCAGTGCTTCTAGAGTAAATCCTGGAATTAAACTGAAATAAGGCCCTATCGGTACATTTAAATGGCAAAAGTTATTTGGGTAAAACTTAGCATTATATTATATTTGATAAATATCTGTATATGTAGATCCATTCCTACTGTTCTGATTCAGACATCTCTCATCCTCCAGGAAATAGGAAAGCAGGCTGTTTCTAAGTTTTATGCTATTGCCTGAACAATGTAGTATTTATTTTGTCTTGCCATGAAAACTATCGATTGTTTGCTCTTCACAGGTCACTGATAAGGAACAGGAGTTTGCTGCCAGGGCTGCAAAACAGCTCGAATATCAGCAATTAGAAGACGATAAACTTTCTCAGAGGTCATCTAGCAGTAAACTCTCTAGGTCTCCATTAAAGATAGTCAAAAAGCCTAAAAGCATGCAGTGCAAAGTGATACTTCTGGACGGATCAGAATATACCTGTGATGTAGAGGTAAGTGTCTATTTTAAAACTTTTTTGTCCTAGATATTGAGACCTGGAGAATGTTGGTATAAAACAAACAAGATGCATCTTTATTTTTCTAGAACTCTGGAAAATTACTTCAAACCCAGTCTCTAAATACAAAATTATTTCCAAAGTCTCTAACAGGGGATCGAATTACTAAAAATATATATAATGTCCTAAAATGATATAATCAAAACTAAAGTATGATCTTATATTTAAAAAAAAAGATGGAATCCATAATACTTTCTATGGTAGGAAAAAGAAATTAAAGGCATAAAAATCAGTTTTTCTTTAATAGTCCAGTTAGGAGCTGTTATTTACAAGAATTTTACCTTTTTCATTTGCATAATTTATGGCCAAGTTACTTATTACTTGGCAGAAACTTATAAATTCTGTACAAAGGGCAGGGGGATAATTTGAAATGCCATGTCCTTTTCTTGCTCAGGGAATGAGTAATTTTTTAAATGTACATTGTGGTGGGCGTTGCAACTTCAGTGTGAAAAGGGTATACTACTCATTATTCTTTTTTGTGAAGAAAGCTAAAATTCCTCTCAGAGAAGGGCAGTTGAGTGCCTTTTGTTGGAGATGTTGAGCAAGACCAAGTTAACAGATGAGAACAACACAATTTGTCAGTAGCTGCAGAGGTTGGTGATTGTTGGATTCGCTGAATACCATGGAGAATCCACGCAGGGCATGAACTCAAGCTATGGAAACAGGTCTGTGTATGCACCAAGAAAGAATGGCTTGCACTTGTAGCAAGGTACTTCCATTTCAGATTTAATGTCTTCATTCTAAGAGTTCATTCTTCCTGCTCCTGCCCCTGCCCTTATAAAGGAAGGCAACCACACACACCCCTCTAAGCCAGCCCCTCCCACCACCTGCCTCCCTGTCACCCCTTCCTTGGGGCTGTGCTGAGATTCTCTCCCAGGCACCACAGGCAGTGCACACTTGTGTGTCCTCACACATTTCCACTCCTCTTTCCTCATGATAGCCAGCACCAAGCTCACTTGATTGCCCACGTTCCCTGTTCATTCATCTTTGCTTCCTCTGTCTTACAAACCCCATATCATGCCTGTTAATATTTGCATACTGTACCTACGCACCCGGTGCTTTTCTTGCAACGGAAGATTCAAATCCATTTTATATTGGATTCATTAGGGTAGGGATGAGGGGTGGGACACTAAATTTTTATAGATTGCAAGAACATAGCAAAAACATATTGTTTTGAAAATAAATTCTTACATCAAAAGTTATTAATGTTTAGTCTGTCATATACCAATTTATGGGAAAATTTAGTCATCCTTTGCTTGATGGCCTACTGCAGGGATTTCTAAGAACCCTGTAAGATTTGCCATGCACAGATTCATTTCTTGCCTTTGGCAGGCTTTGATTTTGGCTAGTTTCTTAGACCAGAGTGCCCAATTACTGAGTTAGATGTGAATTCTAGAAATGAGGAGCTCCAAGAATGTACTCCTAGCTGGGGTTTACTATGAAGCTTTTAAAGGACTTGTGTAACCTTGAGAGGGGTTGTTCTAGTGTAAATCTACTTTTTTGGAAAACTTGATCTTGAGAAGCTAAGCTTTGTTCCTTAATTTTGAGGCGAGTCTTTCATTGATTGCATTTATATAATGAAATATAAATAGGTTTAACTGGCAATCCTCTAGCCATGGCTACCAGAGTTTTCTAAGGACGGGTCTAGAAGAATGTTCATAGTGTTTCATGCAGTGAGTGAGGATAATACCATTTTTCCAAGTCTAATTTATGTCTGTGCTTCAAATTCTTTTTTTTTTATTTCAGCATATTACAGGGGTACAAATGTTTAGGTTACATATATTGCCTTTGCCCCCCCCCCCAGTCAGAGCTTCAAGCATGTCCATCCCCCATACGGTACACACCACACCCATTAGGTGTGTATACTTCCATCCCCTCTTCCCCACTCCCACCTGCCTGACACTCCATGAATATTACTACTATATGTACACATAAGTGTCGATCAGTTAATACCAATTTGATGGTGAGTACATGTGGTACCTGTTTTTCCATTCTTGTGATACTTCACTTAGTAGAATGGGTTCCAGTTCTATCCAGGATAATACAAGAGGTGCTATATCACCATTGTTTCTTGTGGCTGAGTAGAACTCCATGGTATACATATACCACATTTTATTAATCCACTCATGTATTGATGAGCACTTGGGTTGTTTCCACATCTTTGCAGTTGTGAATTGTGCTGCTATAAACATTCTAGTGCAGATGTCTTTTTTATAGAATATCTTTTTTTCCTTTGGTTAGATGCCCAGTAATGAGATTGCTGGATCAAATAGTAGTTCTACTTTTAGCTTGTTGAGGTATCTTCATACTATTCTCCAAAGAGGTTGAACTAGCTTATAGTCCCACCAACAGTGTATGAGTGTTCCTCTCTCTCCGCATCCATGCCAACATTTATTGTTTTGGAACTTTCTGGTAAAAGCCATTCTCACTGGAGATAAGTGATTATCTCATTGTGGTTTTGATTTGCATTTCCTTCATGATTAGTGATGTTGAGCATTTTTTCATATGTTTCTTGGCTGTTTGTCTTCTTTTGAAAAGTTTCTATCCGTGTCCTTTGTCTGCTTTTTGAGAGGGTTGTTTGATTTTTTTCTTGCTGATTTTCCTGAGTTTTATATAGATTGTAGTTGTCAACCCTTTATCAGATGTCTAGCATGTGAATATTTCCTTCCACTCTGTACCTTGTATGTTTGTTCCCGTGACAGTTTCTTTGGCTGTGCAGAAGCTTTTTAATTTGATCATGTCCCGTTTATTTATTTTTGTTGTTGCTGTGATTGCCTTTGGGGGGTTCTTCATAAATTATTTCCCCAGGCCAATGTCTATGAGTTTTTCCAACATTTTCTTCTAGAATTCTTATAGTTTATTGCCTTTCAAATTCATTATAGATAATCACTGTGGTTTTGAATACAAAAATTTTATTTTGTAATTAAGTTTAGACAAGTAAGTGTTACTTTTTATGTCACTGTGAACATTTTGAATGGTATAGCAATATTGGTCAGTTATTTTCCTTTATAATAAGGTATTTTTATAAATTTGACAGATTTTTAAGAGTAACTTTTTCTACGATATTAAAACCTTCGCTAGCAGAATATTTTCAGTTTCACAACAGACCTTGGTATTAGAAAATATGCATTCACTGCTGACATCTTGGTGAAGAATATGGGGAAATTTGAAAATGGTAGAAGTTCAATGGGCTTACGTAGCTGATGGGCTGAGTTAGAAAAATGTGTTGTAAAATCAGTGGTGTGTTTCTCAAGGTGGCAATGAGATGGTAGTTGAAAAAGCATATTCAAAATGTCTCTTGTTTCTTTTTTTTTTTTTTTTTTTTTGAGACAGAGTCTCGCTTTGTTGTCCAGGCTAGAGTGAGTGCCGTGGCTTCAGCCTAGCTCACAGCAACCTCAAACTCCTGGGCTTGAGTGATCCTTCTGCCTCAGCCTCCCGAGTAGCTGGGACTACAGGCATGCGCCACCATGCCCGGCTAATTTTTTATATATATATCAGTTGGCCAATTAATTTCTTTCTATTTATAGTAGAGACGGGGTCTCGCTCTTGCTCAGGCTGGTTTTGAACTCCTGACCTTGAGCAATCCGCCCGCCTCGGCCTCCCAAGAGCTAGGATTACAGGCGTGAGCCACAGCGCCCGGCCTTCTTGTTTCTTGATATAAACTGTGGAAAGTAGAGTTTGGCTGGCGTGGTACACCCGGGCATAACAGGTAGATGGAGATTGGAGAACATCGCCCTGGGGAAGATGTCCTTCCGTGTTCCCTCTCCTCAAACCTGAGTTTTTGTTTGACTTGGATGAAGGCACGGAAACACAGCCAGACAGTTATTTTTTTAAGCAATACAGAGCTTTAAAAGAGACAAATGGCCCCGAGTGTTGGAATCTAGTCTTACTGCGAAGCGAATTGCATGCGCCACTCAAGCAGAGCTGGCAGGCCAGTGTTTAGCAGGAGTGGAGGTAAAACTTCCCTCTATTAGGAAGGATCAAGTGCAAAATGGAAAACCGTTTGGGTGGAGAGGTGTTCAGACGGTCAGACTTAGTAACGATCTAGGTAAAAGTCATTTTGGGATTTACGTTGATTACAAACTCAACATGAGCCAACAGTGTGGTGCAGTTGTCGAAACCGATCGTACAGTCACAGGCGGCTCCCGTGGAAGTGTCCGTGGAAGGGTCGTGCTCCGTTTGCAGCAAGCGGCAGGCTGTCCGTTCCCTGTGCTGGGCAGGTCCTGCCTGCAGGGCTGCGTTTCATTCATATGGGATAAGCCTTCAAAGCCACCAGACTGGGGCAGATGTGGTCTTGTCCACTGGTAACGCATGTGATTTCAGGGAACTTCCTTCAGCTTTCTGAACCTGCGTTTCTTCAACAGAAAAATAGGGGTAAAAATGCTTGCCTCTCTTACTGAGAAGATTAAGGCAAATTTCTTTAAATGCCTTCGGGATATGGCATATTTTAATGAATGGGTGCTGTTTAATAACAGTGATAATAACAATGAACTCTGACTTGAGCTCATGCAGCAGAGAAACATAGGATGGTGAATGGTCTCCAAGCCTTCCCACGAGGAATGATTAGAGAATAGAATGTGTTAGATATGGAAAAAGTAATATTGGGACCCTAATCTTTTAGTTCTTTTCAGTTACTTAAAAAGGTCGATATTGAAGGGTTGCCATAACTTTTTTTTTAACACGTAGGAAGCAAAACTTAGGTAAAAATTATAGCAAGTCAGATTTTATTTTATTTTTTTTCCTTTTGCTATTATTTTCATTTATTTTATGTTGCATCTGTTCCCGTGCCTTAAGTTTTTGTTTCTTCAGTTTCTTCTGGGATATCTTTTTCTTCTGTGCAACCTCTTCTGGCTTTGGAACATTCTTTTCCTTTTCAGTGAGGATCATCTCGATGTGGCAGGGGGAGCTCCTGTAGGGATTAATCCCACCATGAGCTC